ATCCTAGGGTTACAAAACATTGGAGGAAGTGAGCTTGAGTATGTTTCATTTTTTTTCTCCTGTATGTGCAGTGACCCAACAGACCCCTGAATAAGTGTCTATGGAGGCAAAAACATACTTCTGTTTGCCAAAAGTTGGAAAATGAGTAACATCAGTTTGTCAAAGGGTATTGGGCCATAGGCCTCTGGGGTTAACTCCTGACAACTGTAGAGGGGGACCTCTTAGATATCATTGACATGATTTGCAGGTGAGAACTATCTTTTTTAGTTCTTTTTTAGGAATCATTGGGAATCTATTATGTAGTCCCCTCCAATTAACATGGGTCATATCATGCAATTGAGTGGCTTCCTGTAGAGTTAGTGCCTCTGGGGCTGTCGCCAGTCTATCTGCCCAGTCATTGTCCTTAGTCAGGAACCCTGGGAGGCCAGAGTGCCCCCGAGGGTGTTGAAGGTAAATTGGTGCCTCTCCACCCTCTGAAAGGGCTTTAAGAGCCACCATGAGAGGGTATATAGGGTTATTATCTAACCAAATGTGTGCTTGTGGGATATGGGGGGAAAGATTGCAGGGCTTGGAGATGTTCTGTAATGCCAATGTCACAGCCAGTTTTTCCTTATATTGGGCAGAACCTTGGCAGGATTGAAATCTTTGGTGGCTTGGTATGGCTTGGTATCCCCTAAAGGCAACATATGCAGAGCCTGCTCAGCCCCCATCAGTGAAGATACAAATGGCTTCTGGGATGGAAACAAGGAAGGCATCTTAAGGGGGGAGTCTCTGTAACACAGGAGCCCATTTGGGCCACCCATAGTGGCAATTAATACTCCCATAAATCCTTCTAAGGTGAGAGCAAGGCGTTAGCCCAAGCAAGCCATTTAACATCCACCACCTGGAAAGGGAAGACAATGGTATGGGGGTCTAGTCCATAGTGTTGCTGGGTTTGGGTCCTGCCTTTTATGATGATGTCAGTGACCTGATCTGCCTGAGAGTAGACCCGGGGTATTCCTTCCAAGGACATATGGACCCATTCCAGCTGCTCCCTCTCCTGGGTTAGAACCGCTGTAATCAGGGAGGCAAGCAACCATAGGAACAAGGGCCTAGTCACCAAATACCTCCTTAGAGAACATTTGTCCAAGGCCTTCTGAAACACAAGGAGCATCTTATGGTGTTCCTTTGTTATGGTTATATCATCATGAGGCACCTTGTCCTTTAGCAGGACGTACAAGAACACAAGTTCTTCTGTGGGGATTGACACCCAGGGTCTCAGCCAATTAATCTCCCCCAGCAAGTGCTGGAGCTGGGTCAGGGTCATAGATTCAGGCACCTCCAGAACGGGCTCAAGCGGACTAGCCTGTGTCAGTGTGAGGTGCAACCCAAATACTTTGAAAGGAGGGCGCCTTTTGGACTTTTTCTGGGGTAACAGTAAAGCCCCCCCCTTTTTTTTTTAACCATGTCATAGACTTTTATTTCATTATCCAGTTAGAAGAGTAGTCAATTTTTTTTAAAAAACTTGTTTTAATTTAAATTAGCAACAAGCTTGCTTCACCTGTCAATCCCAGCTCCCTCTTCCTCCCCCAAAACCCCCTTTTTTAAGCAATTGGAGTACCTGTGTCACAAAGCGCTCCAGATATGCTGGATCCTGATGTCCCAAAATTAAATCAATCATATAAGCATATATTATATGAATCCTTTGACTTTAGCGTAGGCCTTAAGAGAATAGAAAGATACTGTTGACAGAAGGCTGGGCTGTTAGCCATTCCCTGTGGTAGAACTACCCATTCAAAACGTTGATCATGCTTGGAATAATTAAGTGAAGGAACAGAGAAGGCAAATTTATCACAATCCTCTGGATGTAGTGGTATAGAAAAGAAGCAATCTTTAATATCAGTACTATAAATGTATATTATGTGGGGATAGCAGGAGTCCAGGGCATGCCCCTAAGGGGTGCCCACTAGTTCCATCTTGTACAAATCTTGGAGCATGTGCCAAGCCCCAGATGCCTTTTGAATTACAAACACTGGGGTGTTCCGTGGGCTCATAGAAGGGCGGATATGTCCAAGTCTTAATTGTTTATCCACTAGCTGATTAGTGCTAGTAGCTTAGGTTTAGTCAGTGACCCCAGTGACCATTGCTCTACCCATACGGGCTTTTTTGGTGCCCATCTGATAGACAGCACTCAAGGGACAATGACCCTTATGATTGGTGGTATGCCTGGATAGACCTCTCAGGTTCTCCTCTGTAGTTGTGGAGGCTGAAAAAAAATCCTTGTCTGTGACCCCCTTTAGGTCCTTTCCCATCCTTCATTCCTCTTTCTCTTTTAGGGTATCCTCATAAAAAGCCTGATGGATGATCTGTGCTCACAATGGCGTCTATTTGGCTCAGCATGTCCTGTCCCAGCAAATTGGCAGTAAGGTCTTTGACCACTAAGGGGCATATCTTTCCTTGGTCCCAGTGTGGACTGGTCCAGCGCATTAAGGTCACTATTTCTCTTCATTGGGAGTTACCTCCCACTCCCAAAACCGAGGACCCAGGTGGAAGCTCCCAGGTGGAAGGCACTTCCTCCTCCTGGAGCACTGTCCTGTCTGCCCCTGTGTCTACCAAACAGTGAAACCTCTTACCACCTATAAAAACGGTCATTTTTAGATGAAGTCCTTCAATCAAGGGGACAGTCTAGTAGGCGTGTGTTGTCTGGGTATGAGAACTTCTAATCCTGCCTTTAGAGGGGCTCCTTCCCTTTTGTACCAGGGCTGGAGGCTGCCCCTCCTCTAGTTTAAAGACATTTCCTCCAGGTCAGATTTGATCTACAGTCCTTCTTCCAATGGTATCCTTTCCTGCACTGAGGACATGGAGTGGAGGGGGGCTTAACCCCTCCTGACCTGTTAGGGGGGAGGTGGGTGTTGAGGACAGTCTCTTTTAAAATGACCCTCCTGCCCACATCTAAAGCATGACCCTTTTCCCAGCGGTCTCAAGAGCCCTTGACCCTGTGTTGTCAGGGCCTGGGTGATGGCCTCTGTCATGGTGGTTGTCTGTGCCTGTAAGGCCAGGGCCAGAGACTGGGATTGGTGTTGCTGGGTACCTACATCTTGGGAGGCTACCACCTATCTGCTTAGGGAACTGTCTTTTAATCCTGCACAGGCCATTCTATGGTCCCCATTCATCCCTTCCCATACCAACAATTTGATAAATTGTTCTCTGAGGTCTGTGGGCGGCAGCTTGTGCTGAACGCTCTGTTGGACCTGGTCTATAAACTCTGACAAAGGCTCACTGGGCTCCTGCTTCATCCCAGCTATGGGGGACTCTGTAGGCCCATCATCCAGTTCAACCCAGCCTGCCTCACCTGATCCTGATATGGCCCAAGGATCCCTGCTTGCTGAACCCTAGTGGAGTAACTGTCTCCCGATCCCAACAGCATAGGTAATAGGGATGGAGGGGTTAGCTTGTCTATTTGCCTACATTCCTCCTTATAAAAGGCATACCATTTGATAAACTGAGAACTAGGGAGGACTGCCTTAGCCACATCCAGCCAGTCCTTGAGGACACACGAAAAATAGGTGATGTCCTGTAACAGAATCTGTGCCCAAGGGGAATTAGGACCATCTTCTGCCATGGCCTTGTGGAGCTCTTTAAGATCCTTGGCCTCCCAAGGATACCAGTTTAGAGGCCTGCCTGACCCAGGGGCCAAGTTTGCCAGGTAGGCTTGGGAGGGCCCTAGTTGTGTCCTCCTGTCCCTCCTTGATTGGGTAGGCCTCTGCATAAACCAGGCCTCCAGGTCTCTACCTGCCTTTGTCTGGTCAATCATAGGGGTCCAGTTCCCACAGATTTTCCCTGAGGGTGGTAGAGGGGAACCCAGCTTCCTTGCTCCTGGGAGTGTAAGGCAGAGGAGTCTGGAGTTATCTGGGGTGGATGATTTGGCCCATTTCTCTTCTGCCTCATCTTTGGTGGACCTCTCCAGTCCTCCTTCCTTCTTACTGAAAACAGTTACCTGTACTGAGGGTCTCACTTACCCTGAGATACTGCTTGGCCTCCGCTGAGATTTAGGTCCTTCATGAAAGTGTACCAGGTTCAGGTGCCAGTCTTAGCCCAACCACGGAAGGTTGAGCTGCATCTGAGGAAGAGTAAGTGTGCTGCTCGCCCATTCCCAGCCTCCAGGAGATGATCAGACATAGCAGGGAGTCTAGTCAAGCAGGAACTTGTTTATTACCACACAGCAAGCATCTTTTAAAGGAAAAAACCACAGAGTGGGAAAACAGCCGGCCAATGGTTTTAAAGGTCAGCCTCTCACGTGCCTAGGCGCCCTAGGCTCTACCTAGTGAACACCAGCTGTTCATGACTTCATGTGGTTCAATCTAGGCAACCAATCATCTTGTTTTGTAAACAACTCAGGAGTCGCCCATCTGACTTTCCCTCAGTGCTGTCTTTGACTGACTCGGGTGCCCTACAGTCAGGATGGGAACCTTTCACAGGAAGGTGACAGTGCCTGAGCAGACCTCCCTAATCAGTCAGGAGGAGGTGTGAAGAGCCTTGCCTGCAGGACTGTTAGTTCTCAGTGTCCCAGCTGCACCTGTGTTTCTGCAGGCATGTTTGAGGGGAACGCCAGCACATGTCCACGTTTCTGCCTGTGATTCCTAGAGTAGGAAGGGTGAGGGTGACAGCTTGGTTATAAGGGCGAGAGGGAGTACACCATCACAGTCTTGTTCCTTTTCCTTCCTTCCTTCTTGAGACCGGGTCTCATGATGTAGCTCTGGCTGTCCTGGAACTCACTGCATAGACCAGGCTGGCCTCAAGCTCACAGAGATCTGCCTGCCTCTGCCTCCCGAGTGCTGGGATTAAAAGTAGTAAGTAGTCACCATTGTGCTGTGTCCACAACCTTTTGTGGTTCAGTTGACACCTTCCCCATTAGTCGCCCATGCAGATGGCCACAGAAGCAGCACCTCCTGACCAGCCCACACGCTACTATGTGTGGCCTCCAGATCTCTCTTAGAACCAAGGGTGTTCTTCTCTTCCAGATACACGTCAGGGGACGTGAGGGTGTGGGACACCCGCACCTGGGACTATGTGGCCCCTTTCCTGGAATCTGAGTCTGAGGAGGAGGAGCCTGGAATGCAGCCATATGTCTCCTTTGTGAGGATTAACAGCTCGCTGGCCGTGGCGGCTTATGAGGATGGTGAGTACCCCAGTACCCCAGCCTCCTCCTCCCCTCCCTCTCCCTGTGCAGAAGAAAGCTTCAGCAACTGCAGCAGCTGCTCCCGTCTCCTTTGTGCACACACGATCACACACCCTGCCTCCTCCCTGGGAACAGGAGCACACACATCCATGCACTGCCTTCTGCCTTTATGTGAAGAAGCTAGCCAACAACCCTGGTCCATTAGTAGGCATTGGACATGGTACCCATTAAAACTGCTGTTTAATTCATCCTGGAACCATGGAGCTGGGCACCAGTGCCAGGCGTGATGAGACTGGCCAGACCATCTTAAGCAAATGGTGTGTTTAGTTTAAAATATTAAATATCCTTGGCCTCCTTTTCCTGTATCCTTGGCTCAGGCTAAAAAGACTAGGGACAAGGATGGAGAAGTGATCTGGGCAGGCAGGAAACCGACTGACTGTCAGCGCCTGCCTTCACCTGGCACTCAGCCACTAAGCACAGTTCTTGATGTGTTGTCTCTGGCCTGGAGAGAGTCACTCAGGTGAGAGCAACTGTAGCTTTACAGAACTGTTACTGGGATGATGGGACATATGACATTGTTAGCTGAGAGCAGTGGTCACATTGCTGGCCATGGTAGCCTGCCTGCCTACTCCTCACAGTGCTGATGTCCATTGTGTTGGAAAGTCTGCAGCTCCGAAGCCTTGCCACCTCACCTTCCAGCCTGGAAGTTGCACCACAGCACATTTCGGGGACTCGGCGTTCATGCCAGGGCTATGCAGATCTTCTGACAGCGTGGTGTCATTTGGCACAGAGGGGTGGAGTTACAGTAGCCATAGCCAGTTTCATAAACGTCTAACATTCAGAGTTGAAAATTCAGAGCTAAAGAGTAAATACAGGAATTTAAAAGTTGAGCAGAACTTTGTTCTTTATTCTTCTGGTTTAATGTTCGTAGACACCACAAGTGGACGTTAACTGAGTTGAGACTGGGGCCTGCCATATATGAGGCTCTAGGTTCAACTATGGCCTCCTCAAAACAGTAGCAGCAGCAGCAGCAACAGCAACAGCAATAGCATGCTGCTTCTATGGCCCAGTTAGGCTTTTCCATGTGTGCTTGCTGACCCCAGGTGAGCAGTGTAGCCTCAGGTGAGCAGTGTAGCCGCAGGTGAGCTGACCCAGGTGAGCCAGGTAGCTGCAGACTGAGCATAATTGCTACTTAGTCTCCAGCTGGACTGGCAGCTTTGGAATGCTCTTCCTGTCCTGCACTCTTGAATGGCACAGACTCTTCTGCTATTGGGGAAACTGAAGGTGTTGAAACCACAGTTGCTGTCCTCCCAGCTCTACTATTGGCTGGAGCAGTATTAACTGACAGCAAGCATGGAGACTCTTGAAGAGTAAGCACTGGGCTCTCATATCTGACCAGCTTGCCAATAGAACTTGAAGGGAAAATAAAGTGTGGTGCCAATTAGATGTGCAGGCAGACATACAGATGCACAGGGACTGCACACAGATGTGCATGCATGCAGACACAGGGAGCCTGGTACATGCTAAGTAAGCAGTACTTCTCTACTGAGCTGCACTTGGTATTAACAAGGACATCTTTGGCCCATTGTCATTGTCATTGCATAGAAATATGTGAGCAACCTAGACATGATAGAGATCTTCTTTTATAGTAAATACTTGAACAGGGGATTTCAAGTATTTTGCTTAAAAACTTTAATTCATCCAGGAGTAGTGGACCTCTTTACTACCAGTATTTGGGAGGGAGAGGCAGATGAAGCTCTTGAGTTTGAGGCAGCCTGGCCAGCTTAGTGAGCTCCAGATCATCTGGGGCTACATATTGAGGACCTGTCTCAAAAAAAAAAAAATCATAGTTAAAGTTCAAACAATAAGGCTGTTAAAAAGGTAAAAGAAACTACTCAGAGTGTTCTGCAACTTCTGGGTTCTCTCATCTTCCTAGGCCAACTTTGCCCACTTGAGTGTGTCTTGTTGTTTTTAACCTAATGACACTCCGTAGTGACCTTCTGTGTTACTCCTTCCTCTTCTCCGTGTTGTGCCGTGCTGCGTCACGCCATAGCTGTTACCCTTACTGCTGCACATCTGAGCTCTTTGCTCTTGTTAAATGCAGTGACCTTGAATTTGTGCACCCAGGGTGCATCATTGGCTGTTGCTGGGCTGAAGGTGGTGGTGCTTGGCGTTTGGGTAAATAACTGCTCAGTTGTCCGTAGAAGTGTTCCATCAGTTGGTAGTCTTTTGTTGTTATCTAAATTTTATGTGTATGGGTATTTTGCCTGCATGTATGTCCCTGTGCACCACCTGCATGTAGTGCCCTTGGGAGCAAGAATTCCATGGAACTGGAGTTACTGAGCCACCATGTGGCTGCTGGGAGTCAAATCAGGGTCTGTGGAAAAGCAGCCAGTGCTCTAACCACTGAGACATCTCTCCAGCTCCCACTCCGTGGCTTTTTGATGTAGTAACATATCCTAAATCCTAATTTTTCACACCTATGTAGTCCTCCTTTTTGTATAAGCTGGTGGCTCACTAACAAGCAGGTGTGTCTCACAAGCAGTGTTGTACTGAAAGGCTCTGTATAATGTCCTTTTACATGTGTGCAGGGTTGTAGTTTCCTATAGGAAGGGTTTCCAGGTGTCAGATGTCACGCTGTCTTCTCTTCCTGCAGGTGGGAGTTGTGCCTCCTCTCAGTTTGGGGTATTGATAGATTTGTTAGGGAATGGTATGTGACTGTGGTTGTAGTTCTCCCCGTGGGAAGGGTTGAACCGTTTCTTACACATACCTGCTGCTTGTAGTCCTTCTGTTTCTTTTGTGGTTATGTCATATTTAAATCCTAGCCAATACTAAATCCATTGTAGATCAGTAGGAAGTACAGACCTGAGAATGGTGGTTGCTAGCACTGTGGAACAGGCTGCCACATCCCACAGGTCCGGGCTTCCGGATAGATGGGAGTGGTCTGTGCTTGCTCTACTCGAGGGCCACTGTTGGCTAGTTTGGTTAAGTCTTGTGCTTCAGGGTCTCAGGTCACGCTGGCGGGCACTTACTTCGCTGTCCTTCCAGGGTTCAGGATTTGCCTCAAACTTTGACTTTGTCCACTTCAGTGTGAAGACCATCTGTCCTGCAGGAACTTACCTCCCACACTAGCAGGCTTTACCAGTCAGATCAGGTTGTCAAGATTTCCATGGTAGATGGCAGCTTCCTGCCTTTCCCAAGCCCAGGTGGCCTTGCCCTCAGGCTCACTTGGGTGACAAATTGACATATTCCTGAAGAGCTGACTCAGAGCTCACAGGTGTAAGATATCAAATGCATATTCTCCTTGTTCCCTTCCAAGAGCAGTGGCTGATGCTTCTTGGGCAAAAACAGTAGAAAAGGGCCTTGTGGGGTCTGCTGAGTGCAGTTTGGGGAGTTAATGAACTCCAGCCCTCTCGCTGTGCCTAAGCAAAGTTCTGAGCCACTGAGACCCAGACCCCTTGTTGCAACTGCCACCCTCTCTGTAGCAGGAGCCTCCCTGCAGGAACCTCAGTGGGCGACAGCCCTTCAGCACCCTGTCCTGAGCTGTACTCTGAGGAGCCCTGCACATGCACCTGGGAGCCGGCATTTGGCAAGGTCGTCCACAGTTGTGATTTTTTGAATTCCAACCCACTGGCCTCATATTTCTTGTGCCTTGTTTCCAATTGTCAGCACTGGCCACCCTCCAGTTTGATTTTACTGATAATTGTGCTGCACGTTACCATCCCGAAATGAATCAAATCAAAATGCTTTTCCTGGAGCATTAGATAAAGCGAGCGAAGGTTCTGAGTAATGAGCAGACGCTGCTAATGCAGGGACAGCAGGGACCTTGCCAGGACGCCATCTGCTCCATGCTTGCCTGCCTGCCTTTGGCCTCAAGCCACGACATTAGGAGATGGCTGCGCACTGGGACCCATGCCCCACCCAAGATTCCCCTCAGAACCTACTCTTTGGTGAGAAGTGAGATTAGACACTTGTTCTGTGAGAAAAAGTTCCTGTCTACCAGCCTGAGGGGAAGAAGAGGCAAGGCCGGGGGCATCAACACTCAAGACCCTTACAGACCAGGGCAGCTCCCTCTGTGGTGCCACCAGGCAGGGTGAGTCGGGTCTTTCATTCCTGCTGCACCTCATGCAGTTGTTACACATATGCACGTGCACGCGCTCGCGTGCGCACTCACTCTTCATTGTCCGTCTGAATCCTGGCAAACCATTTCTCATTTACCAGTGGATCGGTGGCGGGTAGGAGTGGGTCTGCAGGTGCCTCCATAACTGTAAAGACCACAGTTCAGTTCGCTTTGGCAGCTCTTGGGGGTGGGGAGGATGTTCCTAAGTTCATGTTCTAGGTTTGTGTTTAAAAACAGTGAGTCAGTTATCTTAGAGTTTTGCCAGTGTTGTTGACTGTCGGTGGTGATGCCTAACTGCGCTATGTGGTTTCCTCCTCTCCTCTGGCCAGAGTTGGAACTTTAGAGATGGAGCAGGGTGATGGCGACGGTTGTGTGAGCTGTGAGCTGCCTGTCAACCTCTGCCTGAGGATTATGGAGAACTTTTTTTCTATCCATGACCTTTTTCTTGTCACTTTTCTCTAAGTGGGAGTAATCAGCTTTTGCCTACCATCCCAACTGTCCCGAGCCTCAGGAACAAACAGCAGATTAGAAGTGAAAACCGCCAGACATTGTCCTTGTAGAAGATGGACACGCTCACATATTCACAGCATTTCCGTAATAGTGGGGGATGCTACCAGTCTTGTGATATTCAGGAGAGAATTAACCAGTGGGGTGGCTCTGAAGGTAAAGAAAGGTGTTTGCTGCCACACCTGATGCCTTGAGAGCTTCCCAGAATCACACGGCTGAGAGAACCAAGTTTAGTGCCACAAACAAGTTCATGTGTGTGTGTGTGCTCACACACTCACACTCTCTCTGTCTCTCTCAGTGTTATCAGTCTTTAAGTGCAGAGTTCAGAGGTAAGATGGTTTAGAAGTGTTTGAGACATTGAACTTTTTTGTTT